GTCAAACGATTAATCGCGATTAATCGCATTCAAAATAAGAGTTTTTGTTTACATATTATATGTGTGTGTACTGTGTATATTTGTCGTCAATATAAAGACACACACATACAGCATATATTTTGAAAATATTTACATGTATTTACGTGTATGTATTTATATTCATATAAATTATATCATATATAAATATATTTAATATATAAACGTAACCTTTTTTTCTTAAATATATACATGCATGTGTGTGTATTTATATATTCATAATAAATATACACAGTGCACACACATATATTATGTAAACAAAAACTTTTATTTTGGATGCGATTAATCGCGATTAATCGTTTGACCGCACTAAAATAGACAAGTAATTATTCAAACACAAAGTCTGAATGACTGATGTGCTAATGTAAAATCACAAGCAATTTGCATAACAAAGTTACAGTACATCTCGTTATCTTCCAGCATGGCAAATGACAACTGGAAAAGACAAACTGGAGTAATTATTGTATTGATTTATTTGAGGTGTGGATCTAGTCATGTTGAATCTGAGATGTGTGTGTGAATTGTGGCTGTGTGGTTTGTTTCGCAGGGTCAGCCTGTGGGTCAGTGTGACTTCAACAGACGTCTGCTGTGTATCGAGAAGGAGATCATCTCCCCACGATTCGAGAAAATGAGGCTGGGCCAGATTGATAAATCCAAGGAGCCCTTCAGCGTCAGGAACAAGCCTTTCTTCGACATCCACGCTGCGCGCAAGGTATTTATCGGTTAACGTCCGTGGCCGTGTGTTGTGAAAGGACATGTAAATGCCACTTAAAGGCCAGGTAAATTACTTCAAAACATATAATTTGCAATGTTTATTCACATTAGTAACCTCTTTAAACTAGCAACTACTAGTAATCCTATCTACACATCTCCTGCAGTTCTCCACTGCTACAGTCACTTTGAAAAACTGTATTCTCTGTGAAGCTGCTTTCGATCCATTTGTGAAGTAAAACGCACAAAGTGCAAAGGTCTCTCTCTCTCTCTGATGCTCTTTCAGAAGTTATCTGAAACTTTGATGGTTGCAGCTCAGGAAACACAAAAGAAACATGAATCGAGCTTCTGTAAAACATGAAAACAGTTGTCTGGTTATTCCACAGGCTGTATGTTTAAGTGCAAGTTTGTGTGCAGCTCAGGAACGAGGGCTAGTCAGTGATCACAGTCTATATCCAACGTGCTGAAGATGATAATTACACCAAGCATTAGTCTGGGTAGTGTTTTTACCATAGACAGACAGTTCAAGGTTCCAGACAATTGACAGATATATTCTAGATATTGACTGTTTATTCTATATTGTGCCCATTTCTGTTCATTAAAATGGTCATCCTTGTATTTGGACCGACAGTTCTTGGTCTGGTTCTGTGTGTAGTCCGCAAGGAGTCTAGTTTTGTTGAGGGTCTTAGGGGATCGGTTATCGATCGGGGTCTGGTCTTAACTTCAGCTCTAATTGTCGTAGCTGTGGCTTCAAAAACTATTGAACATTTCTAGCCTCATTTCCCAGGAGAAAAGATTCAGCTCATTTAACACGCACACGTCTAGTCCCCGATACTAGGGCACATTGCTAATGGGCGATAAATTATTATTGATATTTGTTGAAAAAATTAATCTGCAACATCAATAATAAAGTTTTGAGTAACTTTTAATATTTGCATCTAGACGCTCAGGTGTGTGCGGTTAAAAAAGTTTGCATGTTCTGCGTGTTTCTGTGTGAATGAGCGACGCAGTTTTGTTTACTACACACATGACTGCTGTCTAACTATACGAGGACATGAACACATGAAACGTCATCTCCAGAGCTGCTCTGAGAGTCATTTCATCTGATAGAGGAAAAACTATCATGATATCATATACAAACAGAAACTCAAAGGTCTTCACTGCAAACCACCAAAATAAAAGTTTGGTTTATATTTGAAGACGTTATGACAGAAATATATTACTATTGTACAGTAAAAATGTACTTCTCAAAGTAACAATAATAATTTTATTTCAAGGAATATAGTATAACCAAGGTATTTTTCATCCATATTTTAATTCAGACAGTATACGCGTTTTATTTTGCATCACTTTATTTGACAAAAAAATAAAATTGGAATATGTTGTAAATTAATCTTTTCATTTGATTACATTTTAAAATATTAATTACATTGTAAGTTTTATGAACTCATTTCATTAGACTCCATTTTTGATTATAAATTTGTATTAAAGGGGTCATCGGATACAAAATTCACTTTTACATGTTGTTTGAACATTTGTTCAAGGGAAATTTGTTTCCTATAATCATAAAAATCCACTCAGTATTTTTTTTTTTTAATCCGCCATTGTTTCACCGCCGGAGCAGGGACATAGACAAGAATGTCTCCTAAGTGATTGAGGGGTTTTGTTTTTGGATGTAATAATGAACATAGCATACACTGATCTGAAGATGCAGTGGATTACGTTTGTTTTTGAAGGGAATGCGCCCCCGATCTACCCAAATGCATTTATGTTAATTCGTGATCCAGCCTCACCTACAGAAGAAGTATGAATCTTTGCAAATCGCCTTTCCTAATAATGTACTAGTTAGCAAGTTCCACGCTAAAGTTTACAGCCTCCGAGAACTGCTCATCACCCCATGGAGGGAGAGGGCGGGGTTAGCAGAGCTCATTAGCATTTAAAGGGACACGCACTGAAACGAGCTGTTTTTGACAGGGTAAAAAGGGTGTTGTTTTACACTACCATTGAACAATTTTAACCAAAGTATGTTATAGACTTTTCATGAAGACCCTAAAGAATGGTATAGTGTCAACTTGTGGAAAATGGGCATCTGATGACCCCTTTAAATTCTAAAACAGAATTCAGAAAAAATAAACATACATGCATACATTCATAGGTTTTCCTGAAATAAAATATAGCTTATTTTACAGAGCTCATTTATGTTTATAAACATATTATCAAGTAAGATTGAAAAAAAATGTCATGTAAAATGTCAGGACCATTTCTGTATGGTTTAATTAGACATTGCTGTTCAGACCTGTAATTTACAGATACTGTATGAAACCCCCACAATAAGACCTTTTTCCTGCTCTCATACAAAGCTCCTTACAGTTCAATATCAGAAACATCAGCCAATGAGCTGTGCTCTTCTGCTCCATGTCCATGAACGATAAGTGGGATCATTTTATGTGAAATTAACGTGCTCGATGGTTTCTGAGAAATTTCCAGCAAGAAGAGGTTCACCCCGTGTCCTCCGTAGCCGCTTCATAAACACATTTGATTCTCTGTTCATTGTTCACCATGAATAAGTCTGTTTTCCTCTAGTCTGGTTCCTCTGTGCCCTGAACCTCCAAGCTCGTGTGTGTGCGTGCATGTGTGCGTGTGTGTGTGCGTGTGTGTGTGCGTGCGTGCGTGCGTGTGTTGTGTGTGTGCGCGCATGTGTGCATGTGTGCGTGTGTGTGTGTGTGTGTGTGTCTCGGCTTTGTCTTGTTCGGGGTCTGATCTGAACATGAAGTCTTTGAGAATGAAGTCATAATGACAGGCTGTTGAGAACTGAGAGGGTGTCATTGTTGAGGTCTCCAGCCATCTGATGTGCAGACGGGAAGTGGAAAATAGAGGAGCGGAGAAAGATTCCCATCAGTAATCGGTAGAGAATGACATCTCAACTGCAGACTACAGTCAGGATCAAAGAGCTATTGTCTAGGAGTTCATTCGGTCTCTCACGATATCATCAGATATGAATCCTGCCTCCACCAGCTATCATGTGCGGCCGTGTCACTTCTTGTCTTCATCCCTCTTGAAAATCCTTCAGCGGCCTCCTCAGCGTTAGGACTGACTCACAAAACATGAACTGGCCAGTAATATGCAGGACACGTTTCATTTACGCCGATATCTAGGTCATAAATGGCAGCTTGTGAATGATAATCCGCTGTGGTCAGTGTGATATAAAGATATGGTGAACGTATGAAATGCACATAGCTTTTTTAAAAGCTTGAGAGGCCAATTTAAACAGAGTTCAGATGAAAATGGCTCTACATTTAGAGAGAACAAAATGAAAAAATTCATAAATAACGAAAAAGGTACTAATGAAAGAAAACAAAAGAGAAAGAGCAAAAAGGAGTGAAAGAAAACAAATAACCAAAAGAAGGAACTGCGTGATTGAAAGTATAAATAAAACCAAAACAAACAAACAAAAAATGATTAAATAAAAAAAAAAAAGTGGAATTTGAACAGAAATGCAAACTGCTGTGCATTTATTTGTGCATTCAGTTACAGATACAAAATGGCATGTTTGTTTGATAATTATTTGTGCATTAGTGAATTGATTTGAGGTGTTTATCATATATTCATATCATGTAGGTGAATACAAATGTGTGCCTTTGTGTGGTTTTGACATTTTTCCGCCATTGTGTTCGTTGCATTAAAGCCCAGGCAGCACAAACAATGTTTTTCATTAAAATGCCATTTATTACAACAAAACTCATCTGTGAGTTAGTCATAAATATCCAGTCACTAATTGAGTTATAATTACATGCATCATGTCACCATAAACTGGCCTGTCAATCATCCTGTCAGCATTAACATTCTGATACTTCTCAATTCATTTTCTTACATTATTATTATTATTCAGATAATATACTGTTCTTCCTTCCTTCCTTCCGACATTATCCACAACCATTAAACTTATGTGACATTTAAAAACAATTCCAAACGGATGAAGCACCATCGCTCTCATTCCCCAGTCTGCTTCATCTCACTAGACTAGAGCATCCGGGTATCTCCGCTTTACTGTTTCCAGAGGATGGTTAGTATGCAAATCGTGATGCAGGGTGTGTTTGTTTGGAATGCAGCTCATGAAGTTAGCACAATAGAAAGATTTCAGAAAAGAGGAAGAACAGAAAATGCAAATAAATGAGCAAGACATAATAATAAAAGATTGCGAATGACTAAAAGAAAGACATTTGCTTTCTCATTTGAAATGAGAGAAAGAATGTAGGAATGAGAGCAAAAATCTAAATGATTAAAGGAAAGAAAGGTCATTTAAAAAAGGAGGAACTAATGAAAGAGAACAAACAGAATAGATCCAACCTTGAAAAGGATTCAAGAATGAAAACCAAAACAAAATGACACAATGAAAGAGAATGACAGAAAAAAGATTGAATGAAAGAAGAAAAATTGGAAAAGAAAAAGATATTAGAGGAAGAGAATGGACAAGCAAAAAACAAAAGAATGAATGAGAGAACAAGGCATACAGGAAGTACAAATAAATGAAAGAGATAACAGAATAAAAAGAACAATCTAAAATAAAGAGTGAGTGAACAAACAAAAAAGAATGAAAGAGCTAAAAAACTAAATGAAAGAGAACAAAAGAACGACAGAGGCTCATCTCTGAGGGGGATTTGAGCGGCGGCGGTGGTTTCGACACGAACAACCTGTTCCTCAGCGTTTTAGACTTTGAAAGAGTTTAACGGGAGTTAATGATCTCATTAAGCCGTAATGTCCTCATTAAACGGGGTTGGATATGGAAACTAGCCACTTCTCTGAACAGACTGTGGATTCTGCAGGTCGAGGCTCGTATGGAGAGGGCTGCTGCTCCGCAGAGCTTTGAGGGTGAGCTGTATTAGGCATGAAAGATGCTGTTTGCAGCAGACTGCCTGACTGACTGGAATTTTAATTCAGCATCCACGGCTCTTTCAGCAGCGGCGCAGACGTGTTTCTGAGTGATTAAATGAGAAAATAAGGCAGCTAATGTGGAGTGGAGGGTCATGCTTCACGAGAGGCATGGAAAGGAAATCTCTCTTAAGACTCTGCCGCTGTAGCCCCGTGTGCTGCGCTAATATAACACAGTCCCTGTGGATCGTGGGGAAGGTCGACGAGTGCCACGTTCAGCTGAGGACAGATTGTGGCTAATGAAAGAAGTCGCGAGTCTTTCTATTGAGCAGTGATCAGTTCAGCAGGATATCTGGGCGGGAGACCTTGTCCGAGTCGTGTAGCGAACATTGACGGCAGAGATCCGTTTAAACGCAAACAGGCTCAAGGTCTTGAAACATTTATTTGAAAATAATTCATTTACAGCAGCTGCTCTATAGACGGGGCCGCGCTAATGAAAACCCTCTCGCTCAAACTCGCTCTGTTGCTTGAGATATGCATTTTTGATTTCTGTACACTTCGCTATAATAATGCATTGTTTACATGTGACATTGGTCGCTATTTCTGAAGGATGTTCCGCAAAGTCAAAGTGAAATCAAAACTGACCTTGTTTACTTTCTTATGTGTTTCTAGAGTTATTGTTGATTCATCAGTGCACGTTATTTAAATTATTTAAATTGTCTTTGTATCTTTAATTAAATGTGTAATTGCTTGCTTCACCTCTGAAACCACTTTTTTTTTTTTTGTCTCTACTCCGCTATTTACTATTAACTAGTATTGGCTGTTTATTAGTAATTATAAAGCTCATATTAATGCCTTATTCTGCATCATATTCTACATCCCTTATTCGTAACCGATACCTAAACATGCAGTGGTGGCCAAAATTATTAGAACACTAGTATTTTCACCAGCTAAAAATGGTTTTAAGTCAGTAAACGGATATTTCCTACTGACACACTACAGCAAAAGATAGAAATGACTGACTTAAAACCATTTTTAGCTGGTGAAAATACTAAAAATACAATAACTTACTATCAATAAGTAAATTAGGAGTTTGAGGCAAAACTAAATATGTTCCCAAATCTAAAGTGTTACTCATTTTTCTCATTGAATAACCAGTTCCTCTGGGAAATACATCATATTATGGAAGCAAAATGGGTTGCAAGTGACATTTCATGTAAACGTAAATTATTCATGAGTATTTAAAGGGCCATTTGAGAAAATTGTCATCGGTTAGTCAACTTCATGTTGTTCCAAAAACATATGACTTCGGCTCATCTTCAAAACAAAAAAGAACATATTTTTGACGAAACCTGAGTTTTCTCTCCATTCACCCAAAACTTTGACATTTCAAAAGTTCATTAAGAGATCATAAACAGCATTATATAATGAACAGACTAGGCTTTTCCTCCCATATAAACATGGATCAGTGCACATACATATAGCAAATAAGAAATGAAGTTCAAACGTAATTGCTTGAAATCCAAAATCAGACCTGATTGGTTCTTGCGGAAGCTCAAAGTGCTTGTGTGACACGCAAAAACAAACCTTGTTGTTTTATGCTTCCATTCGCCATATTTGATGTGCTCTGTTGGCTTGCTGCGATAGTCGGTGTTGACGGTGATACCGGTGTGAAGCCGCAACACTGGTTACATCAGTTGCCCACCACGGCACCACCCCCCACCAACATTTAGATGTTTTATAGTAATAAAAATTATTTAGTTCAGTAACGACAGATCAGCAGCAGGAGTCAGATTTCATTTGTCATGTGAGGAGAGGGAGTCGATCTGACTGACAAGAAGAGTGAGGTGAGACAGACAAGACAATGGCGGAAGATTTCGTTTTTAAACGAAATGCAAAAGCACCTATTTTAAAAATATTTTGGATTTTGTAAAGCCTGTTGACTTTTGCCGTTTATCTAAGGTGATTTTGGAAGTTGTTTTTTTTAAACAATCGTTTCTTATTTATTTGGTTCCACCGTGTTTGCTGATATGTTTTTTTTCTTCTTTTTTTTAATATATATTTAAACTTTGTGGCCTATAGCATAGTGTATTTTTATTCGTTTTGTTAATAAATGAAACATTCTACGTTTAATATAAGTGAGTTTGTCGTACTGTTTTGTTGTTGTCCATTCAATCAATTGGCGCTGAATTGATGCTAATTCGAAAGTGACAGTAAAGTGCGCACGGACATTTACAAGCTATTTAAGGGGCCGTTTAGACGACAACGTTTTCAGCCAAAAACGGGAAACTTTTTATGTGTTTTGCCTGTCCGTTTACACGACAAAGGCGTTTTGGGGACTGAAAACGCATATTTTTGAAAACGAGTTTCAAAGTGCAAGTTTTCAAAAACGCCACCGTTGTCGTTTCCGTGTAAACACACAAAACGGGAATCTTTGAAAACCGTGACGTCATGCGCGTGTGTAGTACGTGTTAGGTATGTAGACATGCGCAGTATGTGTCGATTTTAAAGGCAAGCGCGAACAAACATACACAACAATGGCGGAGTACATGGTACTGTTGTTGCTGTTTAAGAATTTGCTAACGCTTCTTCAGCAAAGTGTGGATTTACTTCACCAATATTACAACCAACAGCGGAGACGCATCATATACAACATATAATCGTCACTTCCCTACAGGTACTGTTTACTAACAAGGTGACACCGCCAACTACTGGCCTGGCATACGTAATATAGCGTTTTTGGCCGTTTTCTAGGATGTGTGTAAACGCGAATCGTTTTGAAAACGTCATTGTGTATACGTGAAACTTTTTAAAAACGCAGGGGAACAACTTTGACCTCACCGTCACAACCCTAGTGCTCTGTTTGTTTATATGTGAATAAAGTCTAAATAAAATCTCTTATTTATATAAAGTAATTGTGTCTCTTCAGGAGACTTGGATTAATCCGCTCTATTCATATGGATTAATTTTACGATCTCTCAATGAACTTTTTCAGTTGTCAAAATTTTGGTGTAATGAACTGATCTCGCTCCGGTTTCATTAAAACATCTTCATCTGTATTTTCTAAGATGAACAGTAGTCTCATGAGTTATACAAGGCATTTTTGGTGGACTATCCCTTTAAGGCGCTGAGGCTTTCATGCTGCACTGCCATTGGTTGATCAGACAGCCCCAGCCCCACCCTTGCTCAAACAAAAAGCGCAATGCTATGATAGTGCCACAGTATTTACACTCCTCATGGTTTTTATTATGAGTTTAGCCAGACACTAATGCTTCCATGCAAATGTACAGTTGAAGACTAAATTATTAGCCCCCCTATGAAATTTCAGTTCTTTTTTTAGATATTTCCCAAGTGATGTTTAACAGAGCAAGGGAATTTTAACATAGTATTTCTTATTATATTTTCCATCTGGAGAAATCCTTATTTATTTCATTTTGCCTGGAATAAAAGAATTATAAAAAATAAATAAATAAATTGCTAAGGTCAATATTATTAGCCCTCTTAAGAAATTATCTGTTTGATTGGCTACGGAACAAACCACTGTTGTTCAATGACTTGCCTAATTAACCTAATTAGTCCTTTAAGCCTTTAAATTACACTGTAAGCTGAGGATTAGTCTCTTTCAAAACAACTAGTAAAATAATATGTACTGTCATCATGGCAAAGACAAACTAAATTAGTTTAGACATGAGAAAAAGAATTGTTAACGCTCACAAAGGAGGAGAAACATATACACGTTTATTAAAGCGTTTTCAAGTGTCAAGAACAGCCGTGAGAAGTATTATAAATAAGTTTGAACAGAGGCAGGAAGAGAAAGATTTCAAAAACTAGAAAACTATTGAGAGAGGTTTCTAAAGACTCTAGAACAACTGCCAAGACACTAGTGAATGATTTAGTCAAGTCTGGGACTGATGTCTCAACGAAGACGGACACTAGAGGCCCGGACAGGAATGGACTGTAAGGATGCAGACCAAGAAAAACTAAAAAAAGCTCAGACTTGAATCCAATAGAAAATCTGTGGGGCACACTGAAGACCAGAGTCCATGCCAGGAGACCAACAAATCTGGAGGAGCTTGAGAGATTTGCTAAGGAGGACTCCTCAGGAGACATGCCTGAAACTTGTTGAGAACTACAGCAAACGACTAACGGCTGTTATCAAGCAGAAGGGATACACCATTGACTATTAACATCAGAGGGCTAATAATTTTGACCTGTAGACTTTTTTTATTCTTGGTTATAATTTTGTTTCTATTTGTATTCCAAGCCTCCTACACTGTAAAAAAATTCCGTAAAATTTACGGTAAAAAACCGGCAGCTGTGGTTGCCGGAATTTTACTGTAAAAAATACGGTAGCAACGTTTTAGGGTTTACGGTTTAATAAACTATTATGTTTAGAAATGCTGTGTTGAAAAAAATCTTCTCTCTGTTAAACAGCACTTGGGAATTATTAAAAAAAAAATATATATATTTTAAAGGCGGGCTAATAATTTTGTCTTCAACTGTACATTTTTTTATATATTTTGACAAATCCCAGTTTAATATGCAAGCAGTGAGCCGTTCATGTGTTGGTTTCCTCTAAAGGACTAAACACTGTGGCTCAGTGGCTCTTTCCAAACGTCACTGTGTTTGTGGAAGCAGTCTGACATGTCAACTTCTGGTTCAGTGGCTTGAGTTTTGATACTGTGCTACCTTTTTTGCAAACATAGGCAGATGGAGAGAGTGTTTGGGAAATCTGCTTTGGAAACTTTGTTTGGAAGAACAAGAAACTGATTTTCAGCTGTCTTGCCTGTCTTTCCTGGAGAGTGTCTCTGCCTATAGGCTACATGTTCTTTGTGCTATATACACATTATATGTTCTCAGTGTCTTTTGCTTTGTTCACAGCTCCTGGAGGGCAGTTTCACCTCGCAGGTCAGCCATGAAGTCGATGGTCTTATCTTCCAGCCTATAGGGGTGAGTCTGACACAAACACAAACTGCTAGAGGAGAAATACTCTCTGACACTCTGACTCAAACAAAGATGGTTTGTTTTAGGTTCTTTCAGGCTTCCTCAGAAGCATTTCAGTTAATGGCAGTAATAATCCACGGTTAATGTGGTATTATTCGGTGTGTATGCACACGAATGCTCTCAAGCTGCAAACTAAACTGTTATTGAGTCATCATGAGCCTACTAGCAGCTCAAATCTAGACAAAATTCTCAGCTAATAACACACTTTTTCTTTTGTATGGTCAACATGAATTATGCACAAATATCGTATACATACATCATGTGTAACTGCTAAGCTACAAAACGTTTTCACAATTCGTAATAAGGTCTAAAGCAGAAAAAACCTTTTAGTTATTATCCCTGTAAAGCCTACTGTATTATATTTGATACACAAATTTCTAAGGTCACTAGATTATCAACATGATCAAAAATGTTGAGTATCAAATATGTTCATCAGGCTTTTCAGGAAGATTTATTTGTTGATCTCTCAATCATCGTGTTGCATTGCATTATATGTTTATATGTTTGCCCCCATAATAAAAACTACGGCTTTGATCATCAAACTAAGCTTTAAAATATCGTCTTACTAAGATATAATATTGGGAGATATAGACCGAGAACTGATATTTATGTGTTTTATGTAAGTAGTCTGTTACACATTTTTACATTGCATATTTACATCATAGAAATATCAATAACTGCACCAAATTTCATATTTGTCCCATAAATAAAAATGATGTATGCACGCTAGGTTATTCAGATCTGAATAAGCAGGGATTTGCATTTTCATTTTCTTTTTTTTTTTTTACAAACTCTTAAATAATTTAAAAAAAAAATACTTTCAAACAGTCACTGCATTTTGAGACTGAGACCTTTATTTACAAGAAACATGACCGTCAGACAAATGCATATAATGATAAACTAAGACACCTATTGTTCCTCTTTCTATAAAAAAGGTTTCTTAGGGTCTCAAAGAGTCTTAATTCATCCTTCTGCAAATTTAGGCCTAAAAATTTGTTAAATCAGAGCAGAAAGTCTTAAATTCATAAAGCCATGACATTAAATGTTGCATGCACTGCAAAAACAAACAAACAAAAAAACCTTCTTTAGTAATTTTGTCTTCTTTTCCAATAAAAATATCTTAAACATTCTTAAATCAGGATATAACAAATAATGTGAGTTTATGCTTAAAACATGAGCAGATATCTGCCAATGAGAGATGAAAACTTGTTTACCCTTTGAATTAAGTAGATTTTTCTGAGCCCATCACTCGCTTAACTAAGACCACTTAAGTCTTTAAGCACTTAAGTTGCTTCTCAAGTAGTATCTTGATTTAAGAATCATCAGACATTTGCACTGGAAAATACAAAACTTACAAAACGTACATTCAGAGACCATATTGATGTCTTGTGTTCCATTCAATTTAATGCCTTTTTTTACTTGGTCTTAAAAAGGTCTTAAATTTACCTTCATAAAACCTGCAGAACCCCAGATAAAATGGGCTGTGCATCTATTAAAAATTTAATTCACATAGCCAAACCCCCCAACATTTGTTTTCTCTAAAAGCTCAGAATGCACCAGGCATGCGGCTGTAAATATGTGGCATATATGGTCGCAGACAAATTCACAATCCTCTATAGAAGACAAAAGCAGGTCCCAGGAGGATAAACACACAGGTTCTCCGCAGGTGTGCGGGATTGGAAACACAAGCTGGGATTCAATGTGCCATTGACGCATTAGAAACAAAACTGAAGAGAGAGGCGCTTACAATTGCATCATTAAAGCTGCAGAAATCATAAAAATACCCATCAGGTTACTTGGCAAAAAAAAAAACACATTTCCATTTTTGTTCAATCTTTCTGCAAATGCAAGGTAAAGGTCACACACACACACCACGTTCCCGCATGACAACCGATCAATCACATCAATATGTTTAAAAATGTATTAAAGTAAGTGTCCTCAGAAGCCCTCTATTTAAACAGCATAATGTATATTCTCTGCTGACATGATGTTTGGGCTTTCTATCAGCGTCTCTCATAGCTGCTCTGGTATTGACTTTTTTTTCACTGTAGTGCAATGAGACATTTTCTGTACAGTGACACAGAACCTCTGAGCTTCGTACATTACACAAAGATCTCCAGAATGTTGTGATAATGTAACACTGCTGGTGCACGTTAGCCAGGTGTAGCTAATAATTTCAGTCTTGTGTTCAGTTTGGGCATCTGAGCGTCCCTCACATGAGCTGCTCCCCTCATTTCCACATGTCCTTCAGTCTCTCATTTTGAAAGAGGATTTCTGCGACCCTGAAACCAGCGTAATGTACAACAATGAAATCTGCACCGAGACAGTCATTACAGATGACCTTGTTCAGAGAGAATGAATGGAGCAGTTTTGAGAGGAAAATTTGAAGTGTTGTTCTTATACACATTTGACAGCACATTTGAGTGCTTTGTGGGATATCTTTATTTAATTACTT